AACACAAACACCCAACCCGACTGAGAACAAAATTTGTCTCAAGCTGTCTGAAAGTTGGCATCACCATATCTAGTTACTCTTAACGTATCACCGACTCCAATGACTAAAATCATATCCTTCTTCCTTCGCAGATACTTAAGTATGTTCTTTATTGCAGTCCAATGAGCTCTGCCTAGATTTCCCTGAAAGCAACCGACCATGCTCAAAGTGAAAGACACATCAGGACGAGTACGTCATAGCATACATGATCGAACCTACAGCCGAAGCATATGTGACTTGACTCATATAATTTATTTCTTCATCTGTACTCGGAATTTGAGTCTTACTCAATTTGGCATTACTCCGAATATGTAATTCTCCTTTCTTGGAATTTTCCATACTAAAACGTTTTAGTACTTTATCCAGTTAAGTTCATTGACTAATAATAATAAGTCTTTTCTTTCCATCCCTCATAATCCTTATCCCAAGAATATAGGCAGCGCCCCTAGATCCTTAATGGCGAAATACTTCCCGAGCCAAGATTTCACTTCTTACAAGGTCGGAATGTTGTTTCCCATAAGGAGTATTTCATCAACATACAATACTAGGAAGGCCAATATACTCCCACTAGATTTCACATATACGCAGGACTCATCTTCGCTCCTAGAGAAACCAAATTCTTTCACTTTCTCATGGAAACAAAGATTCCAACTGCGAGATGCTTGTTTAAATCCATAAATGGATTACTCAAGCTTAAACACTATATTAGGAAACTTTGCATGTACAAAACCCTCTAGCTAACTCATGTAAACATCATCAGCCAACTTCCCATTAATGTAAGTAGTTTTGACATCCATCTGCCAGATTTCAAAATCATGGAAGGCAGCTATGTCAAACATTATCCTAATAGACTTAGTTTTAGCGACTGGTGAAAAAGTCTCATCATAGTCAACACCAAACGTTTGTATACAACCCTTTGCAACCAGTTGTGCCTTAAACGTGTGTACTTTCCGATCCATATCGGTCTTCTTCTTGAAGATCCATTTGCAACCCACTCACTTTCGACCAGGTTCTTGATCAACCAAATTCTAAACTTGGTTTTCATACATAGACTGAATCTTGATATCCATTGCCTCTTTCCATTTTGTAGCCTCAGGTCTTGCCATTGCTTCCTTGTACTTAGTTGGCTCATCCAAATTTACCAGTGTACCATCACTGATAAACGTGTCACCATCAAACGTTATATGGAAACCATAGAACGTTGGTGGCATGCTAACTCTACCTGACCGGTGAAATGGTAATGAATAGTCAATGGTCTCAACATAAGTCTAGTATTATGGTTGAGAGATAGTGTCTTCTAAGGTTCCTTCATTGGATGATTCTGGAATTTCTTCCAAATCAATAGGACTCCCACTATCCTCTTTAAATATTAGCTCTCCCTCTCGCAAAGACTCCTCTTCGAGCTACGAGAACCATGTTATCACTAGGTCTATAGCACAAGTATCCAAAAGACTTCTATGGGTAACCAAGGAAAATACATCTCTCACTTTTAGGTTCTAGCTTTTCGTGAGTCTCTCGTCTAACGAAAACATCATAGCCCCAAACCTTGATATGGCCTAGCATGTGAACTTTCCCTTTCCACATCTCGTTATGTGTTTTGGAAACCTTTTTAGTAGGGACTAGATTAAGAATATGAGTTGTTGTCTCTAAAGCATATGCCTAGAAAGAAATAGGAAGTGAAGCTTGACTCGTCATGGAACGAACCATGTCTAACAAATTTCGATTTCTCCTCTCAGCCATATCATTAAGTTATGGTGTCCTAGGAGGATTCAATTGTGAAACTATTTCATATTGCTTGAGATAGTCGAGGAAATCGATACTAAGACACTCTCCACCTCTATCAAATCGAAACATCTTTATCTTCCTGCCCAATGGATTCTCGAGCTCGTGTTTAAACTCTTTGAACTTTTCAAAGGTTTCTGATTTATGTTTGATTAAGTAGATATATCCATATCTGCTATATCATCTGTAATGTCATGTAGAATTGATTTCCATCCCTTGTGGTCGATCTGAAGGGCCCACACACATCTGTGTGTATGAGGTCCAACAAACCTTCACCTCTTTCACAAGATCCAAAAAAAGGTGATTTTGTCATCTTACCCAAAAGACAGGATTCACACACATCATCCGGCCTTAAGTCAAATGATTCCAACACTCCATCGTTTTGGAGTTGGGAGATGCGTTTCTTGTTAATGTGTCAAAGATGGCAATGCCACAAGCATTCTTTTTCTACACCATTAGACGAATCAATATTTAATACACTATTCTTTAAGCTATCAACAAAAATCATAGTTTCATACACCCCATTATAAGGTAAAGCTTCAAACATAAAAACACCATTTTTATAAGCTAATCGAACCATTCCTATCACTAATAGAATGTCGAAATCCATGTCTAAACAGTGCATGAAAAGAAATAATGTTTCGTGTCAATTCTGACGAGTAGCAACAATTTATCAAATCTATCCTAACATCACTACTAAACATAAGACTATAAGTTCTAATCTTGGTAACATGAGAAGGTCACATATTTCCTATGATTAGATTTATTCTTCCATGCTCCACCTGCTCACTTTCTCTTAGCCCCTACAAATTAGAAAAAAATTGTGAAATCCACAACCAATATCAAGGACACAAGAATGAGTAAGTTATAAGTTATTGACTTGAATAGTGTATATACCTGCTGACGATGGCTTGACCTTGCCATCCTTGATGTCTTAAAAGTATTTAGGGTTGCTTTTTTTTTTCTAATGGACCTTATCATTACATTAGTATCAAGTTGCCTCTTTGGGGTCACTAACAATAGGAATATCTGAATTGGGCTTTGTCTTTGACCCATTTCTAGATGATCCAGCTTGGTCCTTGTCCTTCCAGTTCGATTTAGGTTTACACTTACTCTTATTTCCTCTATTTTTCCCAATGGAAAGAACATGAGCACTTGTAGCAGAAGGGACTTGATTCTTCTTCATACCTGATTCAACTGTTGCAACAAGTTATGGAGTTGGGCCAATGTGGTCTCTATATTGTTCAAATGATAAGTCAGGATGAACTGATCATAACAAGATGACAAAGAGTTAAGGACTATGTCAATAGCCAACTCCTCGTCAAAGTTCACATTGAGCCTTTCAAGACGCTCCACGTATCTCTGCATTCTCTACACATGATTGCAGACAGATTCTTCCTCCTTGAACTTGCAGGCCATTAACGCTTTGACGACCTCATACTTTTCTTGACATGCTCTCTTGTGGAACTTTTCCACAAGATCTAAATGGATTACTCAAGCTTAAACACTATATTAGGAAACTTTGCATGTACAAAACCCTCTAGGTAACTCATGTAAACATCATCATCGAACTTCCCATTAATGTAAGTAGTTTTGACATCCATCTGCCAGATTTCATAATCATGGAAGGCAACTATGTCAAACATTATCCTAATAGACTTTGTTTTAGCGACTGGTGAAAAAGTCTCATCATAGTCAACACCAAAGGTTTGAATACAGTCCTTTGCAACCAGTCATGCCTTAAACGTGTGTACTTTCCGATCCATATCGGTCTTCTTCTTGAAGATCCATTTGCAACCCACTCACTTTCGACCAGGTTCTTGATCAACCAAATTCCAAACTTGGTTTTCATACATGGACTGAATCTTGATATCCATTGCCTCTTTCCATTTTGTAGCCTCAGGTCTTGCCATTGCTTCCTTGTACTTAGTTGGCTCATCCAAATTTACCAGTGTACCATCACTGATAAACGTGTCACCATCAAACGTTATATGGAAACCATAGAACGTTGGTGGCATGCTAACTCTACCTGACCGGTGAAATGGTAATGAATAGTCAATGGGCTCAACATAAGTCTAGTATTATGGTTGAGAGATAGTGTCTTCTAAGGTTCCTTCATTGGATGATTCTGGAATTTCTTCCAAATCAATAGGACTCCCACTATCCTCTTTAAATATTAGCTCTCCCTTTCGCAAAAGACTCCTCTTCGAGCTACGAGAACCATGTTATCACTAGGTCTATAGCATAAGTATCCAAAAGACTTCTATGGGTAACCAATGAAAATACATCTCTCACTTTTAGGTTCTAGCTTTTCGTGAGTCTCTCGTCTAACGAAAACATCATAGCCCCAAACCTTGATATGGCCTAGCATGTGAACTTTCCCTTTCCACATCTCGTTATGTGTTTTGGAAACCTTTTTAGTAGGGACTAGATTAAGAATATGAGTTGTTGTCTCTAAAGCATACGCCTAGAAAGAAATAGGAAGTGAAGCTCGACTCGTCATGGAACGAACCATGTCTAACAAATTTCGATTTCTCCTCTCAGCCATATCATTAAGTTGTGGTGTCCTAGGAGGATTCAGTTGTGAAACTATTCCATATTGATTGAGATAGTCGAGGAAATCGATACTAAGACACTCTCCACCTCTATCAAATCGAAGCATCTTTATCTTCCTGCCCAATGGATTCTCGAGCTCGTGTTTAAACTCTTTGAACTTTTCAAAGGTTTCTGATTTATGTTTGATTAAGTAGATATATCCATATGTGCTATATCATCTGTAATGTCATGTAGAATTGATTTCCATCCCTTGTGGTCGATCTGAAGGGCCCACACACATCTGTGTGTATGAGGTCCAACAAACCTTCACCTCTTTCACAAGATCCAAAAAAAAGGTGATTTTGTCATCTTACCCAAAAGACAGGATTCACACACATCATCCGGCCTTAAGTCAAATGATTCCAACACTCCATCCTTTTGGAGTTGGGAGATGCGTTTCATGTTAATGTGTCAAAGATGGCAATGCCACAAGCATTCTTTTTCTACACCATTAGACGAATCAATATTTAATACACTATTCTTTAAGCTATCAACAAAAATCATAGTTTCATACACCCCATTATAACGTAAAGCTTCAAACATAAAAACACCATAGCAGTGCGACTTAGTTCATGGATCCCGAGCAAATTGAATATACATCACAAGTTACAACAATAACAACATAGCAGTTACATTCAAATTTAAAGTTCGAATACAAGTTTCATACATATATTAATAGGTTCATAAATTCACCTTAACAAGTAGGCCGACATAACAAAAACTAAATGAGACTAGATTGCCCAAAAATCCATGAACAAATCTTCTGTTAAAGGCTGGTTCACTGATCTCCTGAGAATACATGTGATTTGAGGGTCAACACAAAGGTTGGTGAGAGTTACAGGTTTTCTGCTAACCGCAGTAATGATACTTTATAAGTCTAGAAAGTATTTCTTTTGTGGTTAAAACCATGTTTGATAAAGAGTTAAATCACAAGTATATCTATACTTGAAATATTTGTTAAAGAGATAAATCATAAGTAAATCCATACTTAAAATGTTTGATAAAGTGATAAACCATAGGTAAACCCATACTTTAAATGCTTGATAAATAGATAAACCATAGGTAAATCCATACTTAAAATGCTTGGTAAAGAGTTAAACCATAAGTAAATCCATACCTAAAATGCTTGATAAAGATTTAAACCATAAGTAAATCCATACTTAAAATGCTTGATAAAGAGTTAAATCATAAGTAAATCCATACTTAAAATGCTTGATAAAGAGTTATACCATAAGTAAGTCCATACTTAAAATGCTTGATAAACAGAGAAACCGAATCCGTGGTTTCTAGTTAAAGAGTCTGGTTAATGCCTATAGTGAGTCCTATAACCGAGCTATGTGACCAATTATAATCCATGCACGACGCTTCATTAGACGTCGTAGTTATACTAAAGATAAATATGCACCCGCTTCGATTGATCGGTCGAGGTTGTAGCTAGCAACCGCAGCTGGGGGTGTCAACCCGTATAGATCTATACATACGTATCTCGCTCCGAGGATTAACGGTTATAGTTAAATGAGAATACTAAGTCTTTAAACTTAGGTAATGAACACCGTCTCACTATAGAGGCCATTAACTAGGTTATACGGTAAAGTTTCAGTATAAAAGATGAATAAGTTCGATAAATCCGTAAAAATGTATGTCACTCGCTTAAATAGATAAAATGTTTCTTCACATGCATGAATGATTTCCAATATATAATTGTTATAAATTGTACATATATAATTGATAAATATGTTTGTACATGCTCGATGTAAGTGAAATAAATTATGCACATGACTAATAATATTTTTAAACGCATGTATATCGTAAAGAAATCGGTTTATAATATATTATTTTGACAATATTAAGTATTAAAACTACATATATGTTTTATATGCGTATTCCATAGCCGATATATATATTCAGCATGATTATAAGCACATTTCATAACCGAAAAATATATTTAAATATATATTTCACATGTATTCCCCCCCCAAAATAGTAAAACATAAAAAGGGGCCGTAACACTCACCCTTGAAGCGTGAACGAGTCTCGAGGGTGAAATTTGTTGCGAATGTCGTTTTGTGACGTTCCGTGCTCTTAAAACGAATAACCGGTTCTATTTAACTTTACCTAATTACCAAAAGGGTAGTTTTGATATTAATTCTTAGGTATGGAGTTGTTTTTATTAAAACAATTAAATTCTAGGGTTTAATCTTGCTAAAAGTTTTCAACAAGGGACTGATCTCGTAAATTATTTCAAAAACAGGGGCTGAAAGTGCATATTCTCAGCCTAAGTTACAGTTTTGTACCCATCTTGCTAAATGTTTTCGAGGAAAGGGGCTGTTCCTGATTATTTTAATGACAGTTTAGGAGTTTGGATTCAGTTTGTAAGGAAATTACATGGGAGGGGCCATTCTGTTTATTTTGAATTCAAGTTTGGAAGACGGGGGTCTGATTGGTAACTTGATACATCTTCAGGGTCTATTTTAAACGAGCTGAATAAAAGTTTACACAGTGTCGTCTTCTTTCTCTCGCTACAGGTACATGAACTGGAACGAGACCCGTTCGTTGGGTCTCTTAGTTCTCGGCTGTATGCTCGACAGTGGGTCATCGGAACGAAATGGAGAGGATGGAGATGACTTACCGGAGGCCTCCCGGCGGAGATGGCGTCGGAGAATGGCGACGGTGGCAGTGAGCGGGGATGTAGGTGAGTGGCAGAGCTCCGGCGGCCTCTTCCCGCCTGGTTTTAGGTTGGATTCTGGTACAAATCAGCGGAGAAAACAAATGGAAGTGGTATTTGGTGGTGATTTTCAGCCGAGAGGAGGGGGTATAAGGTGGTGGTCGGACTTTCAACAGTGGTGGCGGCAATAGGGTGGGTCGGCGATGGAAAGAGGGTGGCGGTGGTTGCTTCGTGTCGGCCCCACTGCTGGGGTTTCCTGCTTTGGTCAACAGAAAGAGGGAAGGAGCGGAGATGGTGGCTGGTTGTCGGAATTCCTTGGCAGCAGCTCGGTGGTGGCTGCTAGTCACGGTCCAAGGGGAAAGATGGAGGTCGGTGATGTTTGTTCTAACAATGGTGGAAGTAGACAATGGTGGCCGACTGTGGTGGTTTGGGTTGCCAGAAAATGAAAAAGAAACCCAAGGAGGTGGTCTTGTTTACTCATGAACAGATAAAGAACAAAAGCTTGGAGTGTTTACTTTGGTGTTCAAATGAGTTGTACACAGCCTTTCTTCTTTCTTATGATGTTGGGTGATGAAGCTTGGAATAGGTTTAAGAAGAAGAAAACAAAAGCTTCATATTTTTGTATATTACCATCTGACCCGGAAGGAAAGTAATTTGGCATGTTTCTTAATAAACTCATTTGACTTTCACAAGTCAAAGAAGTATAGGGACATTAGAGGAAGAGAGAGACGTAAGATAGAGATCACGTGGGTGGTATCTCATATATATATATATATATATATATATATATATATATATATATATATATATATATATATTATCATTTTATATTTTTCTTTTTTTTTCTTTGACCAAAAAGTGTAATATTTCTTTTGGTATTTAAAATACCTTATAAATTATTTTTGTTTGGATTTTTGATGTCGCTTAATTTTTCCAATTGTGTCGAATGATAAATTTTAATCCCTGGGTTTTAAAAACCCGAACGAAATATTTTTCCGAGTTGTAGAACTCCGGAAAATCACGTTTGAGGTTCCGCGTCTAATTGATCTGAAACGTTCGATTTTTCTGACTTTTATAAATATTTTTATTGAAAATATTTCGAGTAGTAAATAAAAAAAAAAAACTAGACCGTATTCTAAGTAAAAAAAACGCTCTCAGAATTTCTATCTGAGGTGTGCAAGTGCCTCAACGGACCAATACGGTTTACGAAATCAGATAAAATCAGTGTTACACCGGTTTGGTTTTTTAAAACGGACATATCTTTTGCATACGAAGTCCGTTTTGGACGTTCTTTATATATTTGTGATCAGGGAAACATGTACTACGAGCCTAGAATATTTTCTTTGTTTACTCACGCTTGGTATAAAATTTCAGTTTTTCAGTCGTTAACTAGAGTTACAGTTTGCGCTTTATGTTTCGTTCGACAATTTTCATAATTTGAGATAAGATACCATTTCATATATTATTTTATTTGAAATAACGTTTTATTTCTACTAAAGTAGGCATTAAAATTCAATCAGTCAGGATACAAAAAGGTTTGCGGTGAACTGATCGTTTATAGATTCAGACCTAAATTCTGGGAGGTCACAAAATGTCATGTAGAATTGATTTCCATCCCTTGTGGTCGATCTGAAGGGCCCACACACATTTGTGTGTATGAGGTCCAACAAACCTTCACATCTTTCACAATATCCAAAAAAAAGGTGATTTTGTCATCTTACCCAAAAGACAGGATTCACACACATCATCCGGCCTTAAGTCAAATGATTCCAACACTCCATCCTTTTGGAGTTGGGAGATGCGTTTCTTGTTAATGTGTCAAAGATGGAAATGCCACAAGCATTCTTTTTCTACACCATTAGACGAATCAATATTTAATACACTATTCTTTAAGCTATCAACAAAAATCATAGTTTCATACACCCCATTACAAGGTAAAGCTTCAAACATAAAAACACCATTTTTATAAGCTAAAATCGAACCATTCCTATCATTAATAGAATGTCGAAATCCATGTCTAAACAGTGCATGAAAAGAAATAATGTTTCGTGTCAATTCTGATGAGTAGCAACAATTTATCAAATCTATCCTAACATCACTACTAAACATAAGACTATAAGTTCTAATCTTGGTAACAGGAGAAGGTCACATATTTCCTATGATTATATTTATTCTTCCATGCGCCACCTGCTCACTTTCTCTTAGCCCCTTCAAATTAGAAAAAAATTGTGAAATCCACAACCAATATCAAGGACACAAGAATGAGTAAGTTGTAAGTTATTGACTTGAATAGTGTATATACCTGCTGACGATGGCTTGACCTTGCCATCCTTGATGTCTTGAAAGTATTTAGGGTTGTTTTTTTTTTCTAATGGACCTTATCATTACATTAGTATCAAGTGGCCTCTTTGGGATCACTAACAATAGGAATATCTGAATTGGGCTTTGTCTTTGACCCATTTCTAGATGATCCAGCTTGGTCCTTGTCCTTCCAGTTCGATTTAGGTTTACACTTCCTCTTATTTCCTCTATTTTTCCCAATGGAAAGAACATGAGCACTTGTAGCAGAAGGGACTTGATTCTTCTTCATACCTGATTCAACTGTTTGCAACAAGTTATGGAGTTGGGCCAATGTGGTCTCTATATTGTTCAAATGATAAGTCAGGATGAACTGATCATAACAAGATGGCAAAGAGTTAAGGACTATGTCAATAGCCAACTCCTCGTCAAAGTTCACATTGAGCCTTTCAAGACGCTCCATGTATCTCTGCATTCTCTACACATGATTGCAGGCAGATTCTTCCTCCTCGAACTTGCAGGCCATTAACGCTTTGACGACCTCATACTTTTCTTGACATGCTCTCTTGTGGAACTTTTCCACAAGATCTAATTCTTTCTCATACGAACAATAGTCCTCATAGAGCTTTTGAAACTTAGGTACCATGGTTGCAACCATAATGCAAGCGACCTTTGTTGCGTCGTCATAATGTTTCTTGTAGGCAATAGTGTCTTCTGGAGTAGCAGTTAACTCATCGTTCTCAACAAGAACTTTGTTGAGGACATATTCTTTACCCTCGTATTGAAGATTCATATTGAGATTATGCATCCAATCCATGTAGTTTGGACCAGATAGATTCTCTTTAGAGAGGATTGATAATAGAGTGAAGTTGTTGTTGGTGGACAATTGAGTGACAGAGGCATCTCCTAGAGCAGACATTTATATGAAGGAAGCAGTTTTAGTTAATTGATACAATTCCTTAATATTTTAACCCATAATTAATATTTAAGGCTAGGATCCAATATCACAATTCACAACTAAGAAGAGGTATAACGTAATCTTATTGTGAATTTATGAAGGTAGGTAAAAAACAATTCACCAATTTCGAACTCTGAAACTCCTAGATCTTATGAGATTCACTAAATCTTATCATTTACATTTTTAATCTCATATTATGCTCTTCTATTTATGATTGGGATGCCGAGGATCACAAACAAGATGTGAATAACCATGCAAACACGCTTGGCACCCTCGATGTCATTTATCATATCCATTTAATGTGTTGGTTAACCATACACGCTCCATTAACAATGATAAATTTTGAGATGCTATCATTTCTCTTTAAAGTCCCTAACCACACACGCTCCACTAACAACATATTAAAGTATGACGTGCATTTTCATGGATTAGTATACTATTTCACATTTTTCCTAAAGTAACTAGAATAGGATTTATAAAATAGTTTTGCTACTTTATATCATTATAATTTTAATGAGGTTATGTCCTATCAACCTCGTTCAGCTAACAACCCTTCACCTCACAGGAGAGCGATGGGTGAGATTGGACACCCATTCAACGGTCATTTTATAGGTTGCTTCCTTATACCCTCCATATAGCATGGTTTCGTGAATGAGGTGTACTAGAGATTTGATTAACTTTTCTTATACATATAGTAGTTAACTTTTAATAATATATATAAGGTATATTTTAAAACTTTTTAAAATATATGGCTCAAATATTAATGATTTAAATTAATCCTTTTAATTAATTAATATTAACCAATTATGATTTGTCTTTATCTTTTAATTAAATAATTAATTAAATTAATTAAATCATTTGTGGATTAAATAATTATTTACTATTAATCAATTAATAAAATAATTCAAATTTAATCCTAATCCAAAACCCCCTAATTTTCAAAAATAAGGTTTGGGTGTATCAGGTTTTAATTTTTCAATTTTAAGGTTTTTAAAATAACAATTAAGGAAACTAGATAAACTCTAAAAGGGCTCCCTAAATTTCGGAAGTAGCTAAGGAGGCTAGGGTTTCAAGAACCCTAGCAAATTTCGAAAACCTAAGGGTAGAGGCTAGGGTTTCAAGAACCCTATAAATTTTCGAAAAATGCCTCCTTAAGGTCTAATTTCTATAAACCTTAATTTTGATCTATTCAACTTTGTGCAAGATCAATGAAAACAATGCCTCTGATACCACTAATAGGTTTTATAGGTTACAAAAATAATATGTGGCGGAAAAACTTAATCCTAAGTTCACATGCAACCTAAAGAACTATGATTTCACTATTGATTTGCAACAAAAATTGAACATCAAGAACTCTAGGAGTACTGTACTATTTTCAAAATTCATAAAGGGTTTTAGAGTTCACATATATTTTGATTATTGTTGTAAATAATCAATAATTGCTTCTTGATCAAGCTTCACAAAGCAAGTACCAGAAATCCCGTGCCTCTAATGGTTTGTGCCCAAACTCTAGCAATAGAAGAATTTAGAGGAGAGAGGATAAGGGAAGGAATTTCGGCTCTAAGGCTTTTAGAATGGCATGGCCGAAATTATGAACCCATAAGGAGTTTATATAGGTGAGTAAGGAGGCTAGGATAAGGCAGGTTTCCTTGGATACTCCTTATCCATTTTCTTGCTCCCTAAGGCTTCCAAGAAACCCTAGAACCCTCCTCCAAAACCTTCTCCCCTATTGGAAGGTTCTGGAATTTCTTCACTGCTCAACTTTTGAACATTGTCACCTTTAGTCCTTCTACTTTTTATTAATCTAGTTAATCCTAAAATTAATTCCGATTAATTTCTGATTAATTATTTGTTAAACAATATTGTTTCTAATTAATATATTAAACTCACAATATATTAATAAATTATGTACTACTTATTTATTAATCTTTTAATAAATCAATAAATCGTCCTCTTTCTCCAAAAATTCATTATGTCAATTACTAGTTTTGAGGGCAACCCAAAAGGACTCTACTATTAGTTCAACTATATACCAATTTAGTTATTGGCTTAGACATCTAATCCAACATAAAGACCATAGAAAAATCTAGTTGTTTTCATATCTTTCTCTAATCCTTTCTCTCTATATGATTGAGAGCACAAGGCTTCCCTTCTTTCTCCTGGTCTTGCAGTTTTTGTACATGATCTGGATGAATAAGTTGCTTCTCCTTTAAATGTTTATTTGGTATAAACTTATAAGGCTTAAGAACAACTTAATACAAGTGAACAATATCATGTTTTCGTAGTTGATTCTTGCTTGGTGGATACTTCTAGAGAAGCTCTTCTTTGAGTAGTTTTCATCTTCATCAACTTCCAACCTCCAAGAGGATAAAATTCTTCAAAGGTTGTAGTTATTTTCATCTCAT